GCGGAGAAGAAGAAACGTTGCTTCCATACATGGCTCCCAATGTTATATGCCAACGGTGGGCGAACTGTGGCTCCCGAGAGAATATTGGGTTTCAATGTCATTTTTACGAAACTTTTAGATTCACAAGCTATAGTAGTATGGTGTGTTCATGTTAGAATATTTTATTTTGTAAATGCTTTACAGATAAGGAAACAACAGATATTGTGAAACTTTAGGTTTTTAGCTTTTAAATGGTACCTGCCGAAGGGGTTGCCAACTTGGATTTTATTATTGTATTTGGTTGGTGGAAAATGTTACATTTCGGCGTTCTTTTATTGGTCGGCGACCGATAAGGTTTCGCTGAAATTTGTTTCGGTACGTGATATTTGAATGAGCATTTACAAGATTGTTGTAAATGTTCCCTATGACAGCGCTAAGAATATTCGAACGTGAAACGGATTTATTTGGGAAATATACGATGAATAATATAATCGTCGGAAAACGAGGTTCGTGTCGTAAGATATCTTCGTGAATTTTGTAGCTTTTCCAATGAAATTTTCAGTCGATTGACTACTTGAAAAATTGAACTGGCAGAAATAGAACAGGCGAAATGGAACACGGTCTATCGCTTGAATATAAAAGTACAGACTGGACGACAGAACAGTTGAGAATAACAAGGAAATCTTCATTTTCTGATATCACCAGCGGTAGAAAATTATTTCGAATAGTTAATTATGTTTTACGAAGTCAAATAGACAGCGTCGAAACAGTTTTATTTTCGGCTCTGTTAAAAAAATCACACAGATGAACAAGCTTTTAAGGGAAACACATGGCGAACAGTTAAATATTGAATCTTCATTTTACGATTTTCCTAAACACCGATGTACACTTCCGAGATCGTTATTTTTGTCTCGGGAAGTTGACGAGAATAATCTATGCCACTCTGCTGTCCCATCAATCGTTTAACGCCTGGTTAATATTGATCGCGCTAATTCCTACTTAAAATTCCGAGCATAAGAATACCCGGTCACTCCGCTCCAATGCATAATCTATTCAACACCTCGATCGTAACATTACACATCCGAATATTTTAACAAGATAAAATGTTCTTAAATTCATTTTCCTCGACAACGTTTAAATGCATAAACAAAAGATGGAGTTTGAATTTCGAACAGTGGCGTTTTCGTTCAGCAGAAACTAAAGACCGTGCGCGTGAATTTAAAAACCTTACAAGCGGGTTTTCAACGTTCACGAAATTCAGAACCTGCTCTCCTCGCAGCTGTTCCGAACATGTGCAGCCCGTAACGTTGTTTTATTCTGTCGACTCTAAAATTATCTCTGCTCGGAAGGAGGCAGAAAGATACGTAGTGGGGCACGCGATAGGGGCGACTGCTCCCACTGTCGTGGATTCCTGCCCCCTCCAGGTGCGTTCCCCTCTACAGATCGTGACAACTCTCCGTTCCGTTCTCCGACCGTTTTCTTCGCGCTGCGCTATTCCCCACGAATCTCTGCACGTCCCCCTGAATTATGCATTCGCGTGTTCGGTATGCATGCAGATGAAAATGTGTGTCAACGCCGTTCGCGAGCTTGAGCGATGGTTATTTTTCCGAATATTTTGAAATTTCTCCGCCGTCGCCAAGCGGCGGAAAATCGAAGCTCGTTCCGCGCGGCAAACGACCCGAGACATTTTACGATCGAGTCTTTGAAAGTCCCGACGATCTCGGAGTTTTAAATTTCTATATGTTGTTAACCACGAAGAAAATTACAGGCATGCCTTGATGATTGGACGGAAAATATCGTAATGAATGTACATCTTAAGACTGTTTGCTTTTAAGATACAGTTATGTTGGGTTAAAGTAGCGACGCGCGGCAGAGATTCAATATGGCCGCCGCTAGTAACCGTACACGTTGCTGACCAGACTAATCTTTGGAAGTTTTTTCGCTGAGTTTAGAATATACAGTGAAGTTTCGATTGTTTAGGCTCATAATATACAAAAGTCGACCGTTTTTCTGGTATAATGGAAACATAAAAGTATGGATATGGAATTATTATTTGTACTAATCTGAAATTACTATAATCTACCAATACGAAACCTTATTAGAGGATAATATAATAACGTATTTGTAAAGATACGTTACCCATAAGTAAATCACATAAGAACCTGCCGAATGTCCACTTGGACAAACTGTGGGGACTACATATATGGGCTTAAAAAAACCAATACAATATTTATCTGGTATAATTTTACTTTCTTCCAAATAACTAATTACTTGTCATGATCAGAGTTTTTACTACAAAATGTATAGGGAATTAGGAAATTCCAAGTGCAAAGTGTTAATATTATTAAGATTTTTCAAGACATGGATATTTAACTTCGTTTTTATTAAATTCTATCCACACCTTTCCTGCAGTCAGAAAGAATATTCCTTTTTCTCCGCGAAATAACAGAAAGAAATGTATCAAGTATTTCAAACCATAGTGTACATAGATACTTCCGGTTCTCTTTCTCCCCCTCGACTCGTCCAGTTATACAGAGACCATTATCCACGTACAGAGTATCCATCTTACTGGCCAGTCTTCCCCTCCGAGGATTAATTTATCAACGCTCCAACCGTAAAAAATTCACGAGAAAAGAAATATACAGAGATACCTATGAAAATTCTACAAAGCGATTATTTTAACTAAACCGTAATTTCCAAACCAAAATTAGTCACAAGTATTTATTCCTATAACCTCCTTGCATCTTCACTAAATTTCTCTTACTCGGTATGTCACTATAAAATTTTTAATTACGATATGAAAAGTGTGTCAGCCATATTTGTACGACAATATCACCTGAATCGTCCCGAATACATTTGATATTTCTACGGTTAAATTACTTCGGTAATCTTCGAGGAAATATTCGCGTTCTTTTTTCCTTTTTCTCGCTGCATTCGGCGAAAGTCTCGCAAAGAAAACACATTCTCCCGATATTCCTGCGGCGCACAAAATGCCCCTCTCGGTCTCCCGGCGAATTATTAGCACGGTGAATAGAGGATCGCACAAAGAACGGAGACACGAGGCTCGGCCCAATCTTCTTTGTTCGGGGTGTGAAAAGCCGCGGAAGATTGGGGTTTGGGGAGGGCAGCAGCAATTTTTCTCGACCCGCGAACGTTTCATTACGCTGGTGATTTTTCTCACCGTGCTGCTTTTTTCTCCGTTTTATTCGAAAGAAGCGAGCAACTTATCGAGGGGGCCTTGTATCGCGGACAAAATCGTTCGATTTTTCGTGAAGAAGCGGTTGATAAGGGTTGCGCAGCCAGAGCAGATAACGGACACTATTGGGATAGGTAGATTCTGGGTCACAGTTGTGCAATGATCGATGTTTTCGATCAGGAGACAGAGAAAATGAATGAAACTTACTGTTTGGAATATTGGTACGTACAGTCACTTACGAAAGTCTTTGTACGCCCTATGAAAAGTACAACCTAATCGATGATCTCCCGAAAAGCACGTCTCGAAAATCATTATCAGAACCGCCAATGAAGCGATCATCGAGAAAAAAGTCTGCAAAAAAAAAGGGGACTTCGTTGGCCTCGTCAGCGCAGCTGAACAAGGCAATTAATAATTCGCTGAAAAGTATCGCGGACGTTTCACGATACATACTCGGGCCGGAAGAAAGACCCCAAGTGGTATTAATTAATTCAGAATTCGCTCGAGCGCGATGGTTCCGCGAGGAAGAGGATCGCTTCGTTGACCCCGTGTCGATCGTTCGATGGTCGAGTTATGCAAGAACATGAGGGATCGTCTTATCCACGCGGGAAAATAAGCAGATAGCAAAAAGAAAGAAGAAAAGTATCCGATAAACCGAATCCGACGATCATTGATTTATCACGTTGAGAAAACGGTATTTCATCATTCTGTCTTCTAGAGAAATCACGTGGTTCTCTCCAGGAAACAATTAATTAAATAATATTTCGGTGATTATCATTTGAAAAAAAAAACAGTATTTCATCATTCTGTCTTCTAGAGGAATCACGTGGTTCTTTCCAAAAAAACAATTATTTAATTAATTCTTCCATTGGAACTCGCGATCGAAGCACACAGTGGACACTCGATAAAATTTTCTTAAGATATATTTCACAGTGATTAAATTACCTGGTAATTAAGGGACACCGTTGCGATGTCCGTGAAGCGATCTTCCTCGGCGACGATCTCGCGAATATTAACGCGGCGAAACTGATAGCACACGATTATCTAATCAGTCGAATAAATTCGACGGTTTAATCGACGCGATCGACTTGTCGAAAATCGTTTAGGAAATTGATTCTTTAGTGATTTTTTCACGTAGACACGTGGCCTCGCGTCGGAACGGCTAGCGTCGTTACGTGCGCGACGACGTCGATGTATGGTGCCCTCACCGAATCCTTCTCTCCGCCCCGAAGATTCTTTCCCTCCGTCTTTTTCTTATATCCTACCACCTTCCTCACCCCTTCTCCAACCCCCACCAACCCGTTCCCCCGTTTATCGTGGTGTCTTCTCCCACCGTTAGTACGTAGTTTCCCCTTACGATAACGATGGGCAGCCATGGGGGCACCCGGGAGGCCCGTAAGGGGCGTACCAATGGATTCGAGCACCCAGCTGGATACGTATCGAACGAGAAATATTGAAGCCTGTTTCTAGGATCCAGTGGGATTGCTTTTTTTCTTCTCTTTTAAATTTTTCTCATTAGTAGATAACCCACAATTAACACTTAGTCTGTAATGTCTTTTGTATTATTACATCCATAAGATATTCATTTAGTTACTTGATTGACGGATTTTGTTGAAAAAAGAAAATATATTTTCTTCACCCGTGAAGGAAATTACTTATGATTCAACCCAGTAGATCAAACGATACTAATTTCTAAAAAGTCTGGAGGTCTATGAGCGTTTGAAGAATTGTTGTATTGAGTATACGAAATTCGAAGTGATTCATAAATAAAATTTTAAAGAATTAGAATGTATTATAATGAAAACATTGTTAGTAGCGGCACTCTTACCTATGCAGCTCGGTATGGCGATGACACTCTCATTCCACTTGCCGTTCCGGCACTCGAGTATCCTTGTCCTTTCTTTACTGTCCGGAAACACGGTGCCCAATTTGCACAGGAACGTCCTCGACGTCAAGCTGCTATTCAATATGTAGCTCCCGTTCGGTGCTGATACGTCCGGGCATCCCAACACTGAAATATTAAACCATCTGGTATGAAAACACCCACGCTTGCTGGAGACTCCATTTCCTACCGCGAACTCCCTATTTCCCTGTTCTAAATATAACTATTTATCACATGAACGCTGAAACAGTTGCGGTGACCAAACCACAGTTTAATCTTGTCATAATTAACTGGATATATTGTCAATTAATATTGACACTTGAATTACTCTATCGATAACTCACTGCTATTTAAGCTCTCTCGTATAGTAAAAAGAAATTAAAGTAACTAAGTACAGTTCAACTGTACTGCAACTAACTCGATATATTACGAATTATATTGACATTCAAATTATTACATCGACTACCCCTAGTGTTATTCAAGCTCACTCGACCACTCAAAAGATTAACGTAACTAAATCAAATTTCAATTGTACATAGGGGATGCTTGCCGAATTTGGACCATAACTGTAATTTGTTATGTGCAAGAAATTTGGGCCTTATTAGTTAATGCAATCACCACTATCATACATATATTATCTATCATAACGTCCAAATTGCTTACACACGTGTTACAGTAGTGGTCCAACCTAGGCGATGGACTAAATTCAGCAACCTTCCTCTATTATTACCAAGGCGATATACATATTACGAATCATATTAACCTCAAATTACTATATGTCGACTGAGTGTTTCAAGACCCTAATGTTCAAGCTCGGATAAAAATTACGAAAATATGGTAGCATAACCTAAGAAATCGTACGTCGAATCAAACAGCAACACCAAGTAAATATCTATTCTTTACTGCATCACGAGATATTAATTTCCCCGATGTCCTAGAGTGGATCGTTCAAGCGAATCTCCAATATGACCAGACACGCCGACTTATTTCTGGATAAGAGAGAGAGAAAGAGACTCATTGCGCAATCATCGAACGTTCGTCCGTCTCGTGTTCCATGGTCTTTCTCTCTCTTTCTCTATGTGTACACTGGATCTTGTTTCTTCGATCACGAAAAAAGAATGATCGTCATCCGTGCAGGGGAGCTGACCTTGGTACTGCAAGAAGAATCCCCGGCCGGTGTAGAACCTTTTCGAGGCAACAAGGTCGAGGGTGATCACGTTCAAATCGGATACGACCCTGACACCAGCCGCTGTGCCGCAATGCTCGAGCAACGTTCTTCCCCTTTCCCGCACCCTGACGACGTCCACGCAACTTCCGTCCACTTCTGGTCCTGAAAAACCAATAATGTTTCATTCGTGGATATTGGCCGATGTTGCGAACGACTTTAGAAATATTGAATCTGCTACAATCGTCGGGACAGTTATGCATTCGATATAATGATTTACGAGTAGACTGCGAATTTTTGTGTATTCATAGCCTATAGGGCTCAGTGAAATACAATAGAAAACAAAACATTGATCAGATGCAACTGCTTTTCTATTTTATTCTCAACAGAATAAATACTTAATTGTGATAGCTATATATATAAGACTAGAAGAAACTATGACATACTCACTAATATTTTATTTCCTAATTTATAGTACGTAGCCGTATGACTAGAGTGGGAACGAAAGTTAACCAAAGACTGGTCTCGGAGACGAATTTGAATTTTTCTTTCACTACCGCCACCTAGTGGAGACTTCTTGAAGTTCTAGGCGTTTGAGTACCTTCAATAACTCACAGCTAGTGGCACCCTTATTCCACTCACTATTTCCGAACTAATAATGTAAAATAACATTCAGTCGGTTATTAAAAGTGTTACAAAGTAGTTGTTCTCGAATTATTCATCTCTGAGATGAGTCTGTAGTTAAGCCCAAACGATAATTAACGATAAATAAGCCCGTAGCAGCCAACGTCCACCGAAGACGCGTTCATCTTTCTCAGTGTCCGATTTTTAAATCGATTTCCCTCAGGAAATCCGCTAAACTAAATTACCGTGGAGGTTTAACGAAGAGCAACAAATGGCGCGGACCGATCGATACTCACCCCGTATATCCAGGTCGTGGAAAGTGAGCACGATCCTTTGCCCAGGAGCGGACCTGAACGTCCATCCGCACGTAGTCTCCCCTAGATAGTAGAGCGGAAATCCTGGAGAATTTACAAAACCACCCTCGCCCGGCACCACCCTCAGCTTCTCGTTGCAATACTTCCTGACGGAGGTCTCTGAAACAAAATCCCGTCGGATGAATTACATTAAAACTTCTACAAACATCATCCCTATCTTCGAAAACAACCCTAAAACAGCCGTGTAACACGGAACCATAAACATTCTCTAGTTTACCATCGCGATCCAGTTACCAGGAGCAAGAAAATTAAATTTCCACCCTAACGTGGCGAATGAATTATCGCTCGGAGGGATGAACGGAGTATAAATTATCCTTTCGTACGGGGTGAAAATCCTATTTTCTACGCTTCGATTCGCCACGATTGAATTACCAACGTGTCCCAAGGGTGTGTTGTTCGTTGGCGGTAAGGACCAAACATCTGACGGATCAACATCTGCATCCGTCCCGGTCCATTTGTCGCTTTCGAGTGAGAGTCCCGGGCTCTGTGGTGTTCGCGGGAGGGTGTCCTTGCTCTAGTTCGCCGAAACACGGAGGGGGGCAAGGAGGACAGGGAATAGCTACACCTGGAGGGGGACTGACATCACCGGTTGTAGGGCGTCGGAGGGGTTGACCTCGGCCCTTTCCCACCTTTCGACAGAGAAAGATACTCGTTGCCTCTCGATTTACGTGGGAGGGTGGCTCTCCGTGGGGATGTAAGCGTGTTTGCCGAGGGTGGAATCACTGAGTCGCTGGGAGATCGAGAATATTACCGTTGGAAGATAGAGAATATTATCGTTTCGCGATGCTAACTACCCTTTTCGTAATTTTGTTCAGGGCCTTTTTTGGCTGACGTCGGATAAACACGGAATTTTTAATCGTATTATGGATGTTATCGTTTTCTTCGTTTTCGTTCTTTCATTTACACGAGACTTCGGCAGAATTTTAACTTCAATAAATTTTCAGATAGCCAATTTTGAAGTACCAATAATTTAAAAGTTTGTCCACAAAGAGGACAAATAGTACATACTATATGATCACTTTTTTTCAAACATTTTCAAAGATTTTTCTTCAGAAAATTTCAAAGATTTTTATTGTCGAAAAGAAAGTTGCATTTCTTTTCTTAAGAAACAAAAAGTTGTTGGTAGCCATCTCGAATATTTAAGTGAGAAAAATAAAAAAAATACTGTATTACTCATAAGCGTGACACATTGACAGGGAGCCCTGTGGGAAAAGTAAGTTTTGTTCATTAAACAAGCATCATCCTAATAATCATACTGGCCTTTCAACGGTGTTAATAAGTATGTAATGTTAATGATAATGACTCTAAGACTATTTCTTTAAGAATTTCTTCAGCGAACGTACGCTTTTTTCAGAGATTCGTATTCGGATATCTTCGGGATCTTTTCGCACCTTTCACGACCCCCACGGTACTCGCCATTGCATAGAAATCGCGGATTAGCGTGTCCTTTAAAGATTTCTTCCTTCTGTCGCATGCGACGCGCAAAGTCGTTACGAAGCACGTTGTCGTTCTCCGGAAGAACTCGACCGCCATTGTGAGGCTTCAGGGGGCGAACTTCTAATCCCTTGGAAGCTACGGAACTACCCCAAATCACGTAAATCATTCTGGGTTAATGTTTAAAGCCTGACGATATAAGCTTTTATTGTGGAAAACATTTTGGAATTTTTTGAAAATCTAAGAATGTTACAATATTGAGATTCTTTCGATCTTCAGCAGATTTGAGGTTAATGCATCGTGACGGTATTGAACGAATTATAAATTAGAATTATAAATTTAATTATAAATTAGAATTTATAATTGGACCTCGATTTATTTTCGAATTGTATGGAAATAAGACTCAGGTAAGAATTATCTGTAAATATCGCGACAGAGATCGGGTAAGATAGAAATCAGGAAACGTGTATAAAGTGTCGTCTGGTGATCTCTTTTACTTAGATACAATCGAGAGGAGTCGATACTTCTTCAAGCGTCTATCCAGATTGTAGATTACCGATTGTACACGATGGAAAATCGATTCCCTGCGCTCAGAGAGGAGGAAGTGTCGCCCGTGTCCAACGAGACGATCGAATCGCGAACACTTCCTGTTTCTCACGCAATCTCGATGGCTCCAAACATCGTGATTTATAGTCTAGCAAATATAATAAAACGAACGAGAACCTTGTTTTCTTACTCCAAGGACTGCTTTCTTGGTAATTTTTCAAACGCTCGGATCATTTCTGAAAATTTTCGCTAACTAACATTCAAAGACATAGAATCCTTCTATTTTCAAAAACAGGGTTTTAGTTTAAATATTGTTTTGTTTTAATAATTTACCTGGAATACACGCGTACGTTATTCGCAGAGTGGCAGGTCTCCAATACGCCGCGCCCGGCTGTTCTGTGATGAAACTGTAACGACAGTGTTTTTGGCCAGAACATCTAAACAGAAAAAAAACAAATATCATAAATGTAAAATTATAGTTGTAAAACTTTAATGTTTTTTCTCATACAAATAGAACATAAAATTATTGTAATATTTTTACAACTTGTTACAAGATCACTTTTTAGACAAGTTCCTAGGGAATTTGTATAAAATGGCGTTACACTTGATGGATATCATATAGCTTACTATATAACACTAAAAATGTTATATATAATTATGGTATTCCTATTTTTCCAACAAGTTATAACTTTGCTATATAACGTGTTGTCCTATATAGTGTAGACTCAGCTTAAAGGGTTAACGATCGTCTATCCTCGTATTGCACGCGAATGTTTTGCAGCGAATTCGCATATATAGCAAACGGCGCAACGCAAGATTGTATCGATTGCTTGCTCCAGGGCCGTCAATTAAATAAGCGGACGTCGGTCATTAAAGCCGCGTCTACCGGGTGTCGAAAACGCATGGGCCACCCCAACGAAGGACAAAAGGCGAAATCGCGATTGTTTTCAGATCGAGATGATTGTTGCGCTGGGGATCGAAAGTGACCCGGCTGCGCAAGGGCCGATGGGGGACGATTTTCACCCCTTTTGCGCCGAGTCGCCACACCCCCTCCTCTACTCGACGATATTATCGCCACGTGCCCGATGCCGGAAATAAAAGGGAAATAACGTTTCACGTGTCGCCCACGCAAGAGGAATCCCTTTAAATTTCTTTTACGACGCCGTTTCGTTGACGAATTTTTATTTCATGTTTGAATACCCTGTTCAACCGCGTTTTTTTAAAACAGTTCTGTTTTACCGACAGATCGTGACCGTATTCCGAAACTCGAGGTTTTTGAACTTTCGAGGTTAATGTGAAGTTCTGCATCTATTTTTGTGACTTAAGGAAAAAATATGTCTTTTCAGAGACAATATCAAAGACAAGTAAAAAGAAGATATGTTTAATAATTTTTAATAATTTTGGCAACAAACGGGGAAATAATGTCTACGAAAGCAGGCGGTTAAAAAAAGTGTGATATCGAAAGAAACAACAGGTTCTATTTTTCTTTTCCCTCCTTCCTCGAATCTTTATCAACCTGTTCGGAAATTCGAACGAAGTCAATGAAATAAGACCGTAATATCCTTCTAAATAAACACAATACACACGATTTAAAAATTCTTCGAAGCATCGACTCCCTAATATCTTCGCGAAACAAGAGATCAGGCGGAATCAATTCGCCCCAGCCGGCACCAAGACACTCGAACCTCGATCCCGAAATGTGCGATGAGTGCTCGTTCTCCCTACGTGCTGCAACCCCTTATTTGCAAAGTTCATCGAGCTGTGCCGCTCGTGGACGCGATCCACTCCCCTGGAAAGCGATTTCTCCTTCGGCGGGCGTCGAACGTCGCTCAAAAGGCAATTAAAAGTACGCGCACGCTTTGCTGGCGCACATCAAACGACGATTTTGCGTGTCGAGATTTTCGTTTCACCCCTCGGCGAAGACACATCACGGTCGTGGGACTTGGCTGCACAAAAGGATCGAGAACCACCTCGAGTGGGATGAAAAAGAGGCGATTTCTCGGGAGTGGAAACGCTAAAAGAAGGGTCGGCTAATTCCACGGAATTGCATTCGATCGCAGTTCTATTCACGGAATCGTTCGCCATTCACCTCCCCAACTGCGAATTTTCTGCGAACGACGACAGTTTTTGCTCCACAATGCACTGCGATCGAGCGGATCCAATATGGCCGCCCATCGGAGAATCGAAGTGTTCTAAATGCTCAATTACGAGGATTCTTATTCTCTGTTTGTTAGGGAGGGGATTCTTGCATAACAGCTCTAAAACTAAATGATTTTTGCGAATTTTTTTCGAGAAAACTATTGATAATATGAGAGTAAAGAATCCTCAAATATAAGAAGCCATGCTTAATTTATAGAAATATATTTTTCTTTGATTCAATTCTCATTGTTTATTTGCTGTAGCTTGTTTACTTCGTGAAATTTGACTTTTAAAATTTGGGAGCATACTTTTGAAATTTTGTAACTTTGATTTACGCGAAAATAAAATTTTTGAATTTTTTTAACTCGTTACACGGGAATCCCCCTTTAATGGATATTTAAAAAGGGTTGTTGATCGAGTTAACATGAGTATTTTAAGAATGGAACTGCTACATATTAATTATCGTCGTTCATTAGTCCAGTTTATCGGTCGGTAATTAGAAGGAAAAAAAAGAAGGTACGGCTTTCACTTCGACTTCGTGTTCCCAGCGAGGGTGGAGTGGTTTTCTAGTTCTGTGGTCTACGCGACGGTAACCGAATATTCTTTACTCTCTCTCCTTGTCTTGCGGATGCCTAGCGTATGACTCGTATTACCAGCGGGAGGCGGTTATTGTGTCGAAATGCGCACGAAGAACGTGCGAACTGTGGCCCTTCGCGAACTCGTAAAATTTCGAACGATTACTCGACGTACTATCCTATCTTGGCGTATTAGTAAGATAATTCTTAACACTAAGTATGTAAGAATTACTTTAGTTCTTCAGGTGACAGTTATAGGGACACTGGGATTACACAGATATTAATTAATTATTAATCAATTCTTCATATTCAATGTATGAAACTATTTTTTCAAATAAAAGAGATCATAAATAATATGATGTTCCAAACTCAGACGATTCTTAGGTTAATTAAACGAAATTACGCTACACTTTTAACCCCTTGCCTTATAATTTATAACATCGAGTCAGACACGTGATGACGATTTCAAACTGGATTTAATAAACGTGTATACCATTCATTTTCTTTGAGTCCAAATAATATTCTGTTTCATTAGTATTAATATTTAAGACTTAGAATATAGAGTAAATGATACACCTGTCCTAAAAATAAAATTCCTTTTCTATCTGTGAAATTATTAACGATAAAGTAATGCTTGAAAGTACAGTCGTCAAAAAAATCGTAAGGCAAGGGGTTAAGGTGGCCAGTAATTTGGACATCGAACCCTAGGTCCTCCTGTAAAAAGTTCACAAACAATCCTCCTGGCAAAAACCGAAGGTTCATATGTTCTAAGAATTAGGAGGTCACCTACCTTCTGTTCACCGACTGCCTGACGTCCACCACCCCGAGTCCCTCCTCGTCCACCTCATAATCATAATTCCCTCTCAGCTCCTGGTTCCTGAATCCCACGCTACCTCTGTTCCACAGGACGTTCTTCTCCATCAGTCTCTGCTCCTCGTATCCGCAAGTGTGCGTCTGATTCGCCAGATAGTCCGCCTGGACGATGAACATGAACGCCTCCAAGGATCTGCAGGTCAATCGTACGGTGTCGTACGAGCAGTGCTTCTCTTCTACCATCTCCATATAACCACCCGGTAGCCGGACACCTTTCAGAACCTTTGGAAACTGCGATTGAATCCCAACGAAGCCTCTGGTACACCTCGTGATCGCCATCAGCAACAGCAGCAGAACTCTCGTCAGGGTCGTTACTCCTGGCGCCATGGTCGTTTATCATCACAGAGCTCGAAATTGAGTCCTACTCGAGTACGCCTTAAAATTAGCCCTCCTCGAATTGGCTCGAGTGGCGCCGATGAACCTGCGTCCCTACGGGTGGCTCTGGCTTCTTGAATGACGTTCCTGTTGGTTCTCCGCCGCGGGCCTCTTGGGGACACTCGAGGGGCCACTTCAAGACGGCAGGACAACGCACCTTGTTGCAGGCCCCTTTTTTCGACTATATGGAACGCTCTATACTGACGTGGACGCGGTGGAATATCTTGCGAACAGTCGTCGAATTTATTACTCTCAATTCCTGTTATTCGTCTGAAGTTACTTAGAAGAAGGTATATACATGGTAGATCGTATTATGTTGTGATATAAGGATGAGTCACGTCAACGTATAAATAACAGTGTACCCTCCTGGGTCGAACGGTTCGCGTCACTGACGTAAGAAACTGTATCGAACATTCACAATGTCATTTGGAAGATTTCGAAAGTGTTCGGAATGGAAGCTGCTGGTGAGCCAACAATGGCCACGATAAAGTATTTTGTCACCTCTGATTTCCAGGGAAATCCCAGAAAAGAATAAAAGTAACACCGACGAATTATAGTTCATTAAACTTCACTCCGGACAATTTAAAAATGAATCATGTATAAATGATCCTTAAACACTTTGTCCTCTTCAGATGAATAGAAGCCTTGAATCAATGAAATACATATCACAGACAGCAGTGTCACCTTTTTCTTTTGTACAGTAGTCACGTTCGACTATCGAAAAGGTAGTCGATGGACGCGGCCACCAAGTCGGGTGAGCCTCGGTGGACTGAACCAGAGACTCCTCCGATAATCCGTCGATGAAAATCACGCTGGCCCTCTTTATTTTCGGCCGGTGTGCCGGTGACTGCCGGTTCCTGGCATCCCTCAGGTTCCTCCCCCACACGATTCGTTTGGGTGAGAACACCCGAAGAGAGACCGCGAGGTGCGCGATCAATCGGCCACGGCCAAGTTCCAGGCTAGGCTAGACAACGCAACCGGAGAGCACTCGTTCTCTCAAGGACGCGGATTAGAATAGTATCCGGAGCGCGGCGTTCGATTCTCGGCCACGAGCCTCTTTTCGAAACCTCGTTCTGTCTTGACGTTAACCGATTGCCCGGTTACACCTTTATTTGCGGTAGTTCGAGCAGCTTTTCTAGGTTCAGAATGGATCGACCTGAAAATCGTGGGTCTCGACGGTTTGCAGATGGTTTGAAGGCGTTTGAATCCTCTTAGAACTTCGTTTTGTCTTGACGATCACCGATTTGGGGATCGATTCCACCTTTATTTTTGTGGCTCGAGCACCTTTTCTAGGTTTAGAATGGATCGACCTGAAAATCGTGGGTCTCGACGGTTTGCAGATGGTTTGAAGGCGTTTGAATCCTCTTAGAACTTCGTTTTGTCTTGACGATCACCGATTTGGGGATCGATTCCACCTTTATTTCTGTGGCCCGAGCACCTTTTCTAGGTTCAGAATGGATCAACCTAAAAATCGTGGGTCTCGACGGTTTGAAGATGGTTTGCAGGTGTTTGAATTCTCTTAGAACCTCGTTTTGTTTTCACGAGCACTATTCGGATTTCGGAATGGATCGTCGGTTCGATCTAGAGATCTGGTCTCGACGATTTGGAGATGGTTTGGAAGCGTTTGACTGCTTGACTGTGTTTGAAATGTTCCTTGCCCGAACACCGTACGCGAGATTTCAAACTGACAATGTAGAGAGCAATTTGATGCTCTTACGGTTCGAGGATTGATGTTTGAAGAAGTTTGGACGAGTCTCTTTCCGTTCGTAAACTTTACTTCGTTTACACCTCGGCGCTGACCTACTTGGAATACAGTAACTTCGATTTTGTTCTTTTATTTTCGGGACGAGCTTTTTTGTATACTGAAATAGATCTTTAGGTAGAGCGCAGAGGCTGTCGAGACTTCAAGAAGATGAATTGTATTTTCTGAACACAATCTGTGGGTATGAAGACTCTTTGGCGAATGAGACTTGCGAATATTAGATATATAAATAATTACGAATAATCATAGAAATCAATTTCTCAAGATTATTGTTCACGATATGTCCTCGATTGCTAAACATTTATTTAGAAAAATATCTTTCGACTACCTGCACACGTTCTATTAATAAATTACTCTTTCGGTACGAAAATATATATATATATATGTATGTACATATAAATAAATTACGGTCTATCGATCTCAATAAATTACTCTCGAAAAATATTTATATATAACGTGAAACGGTGTCTTTTGTACAGAGAAAGAACAGCGCGCCTCGACGGCTGGGATCACAACCAGCCTCGTCGATCAATTTCAAATTTCAAACACTTTCTCGGTCACGAGAATTTCCAAAGGCACAGATCGATTAATCAATCGCGATCACGTTTCCTCTAATCCGATTCCCGCGGTATCAACCGCTGTCGACCAACGTTCGCCTCTGTTCCTCCACGATCGCGAATAATGTCATCGTAACCACCAAGCATTCTCCCTCCCGTTCACCTTCCACCGTCCACAAACATCGCGCGGTAAACCACTTCGCCCCGATGTTAAATCCACGTTTGTTCCATCCCTCGGGCCTCACATAAATTTTCGTTCCGTGAAAAACACCGCGAAGCTTTCCAGCCACGAACCACGAGGAAATAAAGCTCCAGAAAACCGTGTCGACGCGTTTCGCCGTGATAAATCACCGGGCCACCGGTGGCCATTCATCGCGAACGCGAGAACGTGAGCTTTTCCCTGTTTCCCGAAAGACCAGCGGAAGAATCGAAGATCGAACTGTTTACGCTGGAGATTTCACAGACCACGATCCTCCACCGGTGGCCATTCATCGCGAACGCGAGAACGTGAGCTTTTCCCTGTTTCCCGAAAGACCAGTGGAAGAATCGAAGATCGAACTGTTTACGCTGGAGATTTCACAGACCACGATCTTTTCGAACAGTTCCCAGACACTCCAAGTCTCTCTCTGTAATACACAACACTCTGTACATTCGCGAATAAATTCACGATATTCCAAGTCGGAGTGGCTAAACTCGTTGAAAATGGCACCTGAATAACGGGGCCGATATTCATTTCACGGAAAAGTCGGAGCAACACACTTCGATATCGGAGATGAAATATCGGAGAAATGTTCCAATTTCCACGAACAAATTCAACTTCCACTCGGAATATAAATTGTTGTTCATTTTTCACAGAAATGGTCACGTTTCGCGTACGGTATTACCGATTTACGAAGATGAAATTTTCTCGAACGTCGACGTGCCGTTTTTGAAGGCTGAAGAGGGAATATTTTCGATGATGTTGCACTGGTGTTTGAAAACGGATTCCCGCCCTTTTCGATCGACAGTGTGACGGACAAGGTAGAGGCGTGCTGTTTGGCTGCGTGCCCGATACTGATGAAACACGCACCGCGCTACTGTCGGGGCCATTCGTCGCCGTGTGCCACCGAGCAACGTGTGTGCTGTCAGTGGTCCCGTCCTCTCTAACATTGACAGTCTAAACTGCGAACCGTGTACGAGCCATTCACGTCGAGGCTACCCCCGGAAACCGGCATCCCCCCCTCCCAGTACAACCATCGGGGGTGAAAACCTTCCACGACTAGGCACGTGTTTGGGCGATTAAGAACGGTCTTCGAGGACCGTTTTTCGATTACAAAAGTATGGCCCCCTTTCACGACTGGTATTTTTAGGGTCGATCAACTATTTCTTGTTTGTGGTGTGTTTCAGGATAGAAATCGAAGATTTTCTTTGGTTGTGGTTCGATCTGCACCGATCACGTTCGATCGATCTATCGTTTGAATATTTTTTTATTAGAGTAGGAAAAATGGCCCTTTTCGTTAAGGTATTTTGATCTTCGATGAGCTATTTCGATTTGTTCCTCTTGGTTCGAAAATTCCGTTTGGTTGTGGTTTGATCTACCGTAGAATTTGGAAGTTCGAATGGAGTTCGTATTGATAGATAACTTCAAGTTTAACACGTTAAGCGCCATTTGTATACAAATGGATACAACACAATTTGGTCGAATTTATTACCTTGGTCTATATTAGTTTGGATACTGTGTGTTCTTCATTCAGATTCGACTTTTTTCTTTTCTTACACAGTGACCAAGAGAAATATAATTTTTTTTACACAATGGTGCTTAACGTGGTAAACAGAGAAATTTTCAATTTCTTTCAGTATTGATTTTTTGTAACAATTATTTACCAGTTTCGTGATAGATATGGTACGTAATGTATGGTTGAATCTAGGTTATGTTTCTTCGTCTAGCATCCCTTTATCGATTTTCCAACGGCTCGAAGAGCCGTCGAAAGCCCAATAGAACGTAATGGAGATTTCAATGCGAGCGTTGTTAAAGTCGAGCAATTATAGATGGTACGATACAGATGGAGAATTCGATCGACAAATGTTTCAGAGGGATTCGATGGAAAAGCGTTTTCGGGCCATTCAATGGACAAAAGCGACAGCTGTTCCGAGGATCGCGGATCGATCTATTCAATGGCTTAAGATCAGAGAGACCGAGGGATTAAATGTGGGAATCGGAATAGGGAAAACGTGGAAACTGCGATTTCAGGATAAGCTTGGCATATTGTCGCCGCCCCTATATCGGACATATTCCACTGAAACCATCGTCAGAATGTTTCCAGAAGAGAGAAATATTCTGTTCTGGATGCAGATACATTGAACAAAATACAATTCACGGACTGAAATACGAAGTTTTACCATAAAATAGATTTTATTCACCCTTTATTTGAAAATTGTGAGACTGATATATATATGTTGTATCTTGTTATTCTGAAATCGAAAATATCGATATTAAAGCAACTTATTTTGAAATATTTTAAACTTAATTTTTAATCCCTTAATGCCCAAACGCCCCTTCAGAGGAAAAAATTATTTATTCCGATTAGTTAACTTGAAAATAGTCCAATATGCACATAATTAAGGACTAAAATAATTCAGAAATATATCATTAT